GTGCCACTTCTGTAGCAGCATCTTCCTCACTTGTTCAGATAAATAAGACTTGTTGGTCTATCACGTGATTGCTGTGAATCCGATCATCCAGAAAGTACTAGGTAAAGTCGAAAACCCTTTCTTTTCCTTGTCTTGTACTTTTTCAGTCATATTCTCGTTCTTGTGGGTTGATAGTTTTTCTATCTTATTCGTTTATAACACAGGTCATGCTGGCTGCTAATATGGTTGTCGACAGTAGCCTTAGAAATGGCACTAAAACACCATACTCTGTAGTCACAAGGGCTCTAGCCAGAAAAGGCAAAATCCCAGGGAAATCAGCCACTTTCCGCATTCTGATCCTAAAGACTCCTGCAGGTCTCGTATGTTCAGATACTACACCTGCATTGACACGGTCCAGCACTTAAACGGCACAGGCAATACCAGGTGAACAGGATACTACACCTGCATCCACTGAAAGCCAGTGTGTGAAACACAGAAAAACAAAACGGAGACACTCAAGATGTAATAAGACCTCGAAGGCGTCATCAAGGAAGGAAGACGAATGTCAGGCGTGTAGTATCATAGTTTATAAAACTGACTCAGTGTTTGAATGCAATTTTCGCAAACGGTGGGTGCACTGCCGTTGTGACAAAGAGGTATCGAAAGCATACTACGAGTTTATGCGAAATAACCCATGCCCGTGGTTTTGGTACATTTGTCCACTTTGTCGCCCTGACATAGTCCCACAAAGCGTGTCTGTGGATACCAGAAACAACACAATTTCATGCAGCTCCCCACCTGCTAACATCACACCGCCAAAACTTGGCACAGACGGTAAGAAGGACACTCCAGCCCTACTGACTGGAAATGCCAATTTTCACAAGGTGAAGACTCACAAGTTTGCATCCACATCAGGGGAAGATAAAATTACAAAAGCGCCACTTGCATGCATTAGCAAGCTTGGCAACACATCAAAGGCTGGCCAGATTCTGATGAAGCCTAAAGTTGCTGGCGCTGCAAAGGAATACAAGAAGCCGAGTGCCAAACCTAAGTCTGAGGTTAGTCGGTCTAATTCTCTTATTTTCTTTAACGTACCTGTGAGCAAAAATAGCTTGCTTGAGCAACGGGCCCTGTTTGATCAGGAACAGTGTTCCATCCTGTGCAATCAGACAAAAGGCAAAGGAGTCACCGGAACTAATGCCTTCTACCTCTATGGTGGTACACGGTGTGCCGGAGCTGGAGACCGGCACTGCTTGTGAGAAACACATGCACGACGTACTGAAATGGAGACGGCTGTCATCTCAGATGGCCCTTGGCGCTTCTGGAGCCATCTTCCGATTGCCTCGCCCCGCTCATCTCACACTGATTAGCTCTCCAAAGCTGCCAGGTGTCACGTTCGACCACCCAGAGCAGTTGCCCATATCACTTCAACGGTGGCATGAGACCAAGGGAAATGGGAGGAAACATCTGACGCTGCGAAAGCAGACCCCGAACCATAAGGAGGCAGAAAAATGAGGCCCTAATACGTCCTCAAGCTTCAGTGACACTACAACGATGCAGTTCTGAGAATAACAGTCTGTGTCACCCAAATGTCCTGCCTAAATCCATTGAAAAAAGCTACAACGGGCCGGTTCTATCGGAATCGGCCAACTAGTCCCAACATCAAGTCTCCCACCAGCAGACATTTTCACGTCAACTACCCCACAACACTGAGGTTGTTAGACTCACTGTCAGCTGCCTATATAGCAATGTGAGGGGGCTGAGAGGAAAGTAGGTGAACTCCGAGATCTCCAAGCACACCTTCAACTGAAAATGATCATTTTCACAGGAACGTGGCTAAACCCTACTATCGCCGACAATGAAATCAGTATGGGTGATATGGTTCCGGTCAGGAGAGACAGGGATAATAAGGAAGGAGGGAGAGTTGCTATATACTTTGATAGGCAACTTAGATGTGCGCGCGCAACGGACCCACCGCTTGTTGAACTCCCAGACTCCATATGGTGTCATTTCACCGTAGGCCACACCAAGGGTGGCATCTACCAATCTCCCACCTGTGGGGCAGAACACAATCAGCTACTGCTCAGCACTATTACAGGAATACGAGATTCGGGCTATGACCAAATCACCATTGCTGGAGATTTCAATGCCCCATCACTGAACTTTGACTCGGGGTATGCTAAAGGAAAATTCGGCCGAAATCTACTGCAAACTATCAGAAACATGGGACTGACTGAGAACGTTGGAGACGACACTAGGTGGGGCACTAGTGAAAAGTCATCAAAACTAGACTACATTCTAACTAGTGACCAACTACTCATCGAAAAGGTCCAGATCATGACTCCTCTAGGAAGTAGGTTTCAATCTCGTTCTCCGTGAGCGTTTGCAGTGGGATGTTACACGACCATGGTCTGTGTTACAGCAAGGCTGGCTATGCTGAAATACGGAGGCTCTTGTCCGATGCAGACTGTCCCCTAGCATGGGATGACCTATCTGTGGATGAACACTAGGAAAGATCATTCATATAGCAATCTCGGATACCGCCCTTTTAGTCACAACACAGCCCAAGAGAAAGACGTCATGGTTGAAGAGAGACATGCAACGTATTCCGCAAGCAAAGCGGAAGGCTTGGTTTACGTGGCACGTATCTAAGAGTCAGATCGACCACGATGAATACCTGGAACTCAGGTATGACAGAAGTTCATTCCAGGCTAACCTTCCTAAAAAACTCCTGACACACCCTGTCAATGTAGTTGAAGATTGAACGATTATTTCATGGTTGTTTGCTCAAAACCAACTTCCCCAATTTTCGCGGAGGCATCAATACACCAGTCATCGTCTCATCGGTCGCTGTTCAGAAAGAAGTCAGCAGTAAACCGTCAGAAGTAATATTGTGATTTATTATTGTAATATTTACTCACAGACCTTAGTTTAAAGCTTAATTTTAAAGTTGGCTATATGTTAATAATAATATATTTCTTCCTGTTTATGCAGGAACATACCCATTGCACAGGCATGGATAAGTTATTATATAAATTACACATAATTTGATGTATAATGGATTTACAGTTCGGTTGTTCCCTCTGACATGAGAGTCAGTCGGAACAGTCTGCTATAAAGTCTGTTTGTGTAGCACATAAAGAGATGTAGAAATATTGCCTTCGCATTAACAAAAACCCAGACATCACATGAATGTAATACAGATATCTGGGAAAAATAAAGCTTGAAGTCAATTCTCTTATATAACTCTGTTGTGAACAGCAACCTTGGCTTAAAGTTTATTGATGTATTATGTTGAGATCAGTGATATATTTATTCCACTTTTTCAGCAGTCTTATCGTAGTTTCATAACAGGAAAGAAATTTGATCGTGGATACGAAAACTAGATGAGGTCATGTTGGGTTGTTTTACCGCATTAAATGGTGCTGAGGTCGATTCCAGAGTTCCCCATTTGCGCCATTTGTGTCTGCATGGCGGACTGTACTCGTAAGTTGAGTGAAATGTTGAAAACTGTTTGAAAACCAGTTACTTCTTCATTTCAGATCATGAATACTCATTTACATCGTGTTCGCCAGCTTCTTTAAATGGTAGAATTGGAATTTGAGTGATTATGGGATAAATGGTTTGGAATTAATCATAGCAGTTAGAATACAGTTAAACATGCAGAGAAGTACTTTTGATTCAGCAACCGGTGAATTTTTTATTCTTTTCGATCTAGTACCAGAATAACTGCGAACCATTCCATTCAGTATCTCGAATAAGGCACGCAGGAGGAGATCATTACCATCAAATGAATCAACTTGATCTGAGATGCAGCTTTCAGCATGTTTTCGTTATATCATAGATATCCAGGTTTATTGGCGCTGTAGAGGCAGTGATTTGGATTATAACGTATTCTACAAAGTCTCCGTGCCCATTTGAAGTATACATATGCTTTGAAAGGATTACTTTGTTGGCTCCTACCCCCACTGAGTGTTAACAACAGCTGCTGTGGGTTTATGTATTTCCTCGCCCTTTTGGATAAAACATCGCCGCATTCTTTTTGGGTAGGAGACCAGTTGGTGGATTATAAATGATTTCCAAGTAACTTTTATCTTTTCATGTGGTGTTGCGGTAAGTTTCTACCTTGTTTTCTCATATTTCATTCGTATGTTGGTTATGGTTCGCCCTTTGTATCAGGTAGACATAGTTTGATCGACTCTTGATTTAATGGGTGTTATTGTCATGACTGCTGCTTTTTTATCTGGAATTATAAATAGAGACAAAACAAACAACAGGTGTAGTCTCTGAGTTCATACATTAAATGGGCCTATGATTTCTGAAACTCTTACATGGGAATTACCATTGGTATAAATTACAAACTCACTTAGTGCGTCATTAAGTGCCTTTTCAAAGGAGGCCAATGTGCTTGCTAGTCGTATTTTCTCAGGTAGTTTGTTCCATATTTGGGCATACCTAATCAAGAAAAACTTTTGCCTGGTGGCTGTTTTACATGGTTCTATAGCCACTGTACCTTTAGTGTGCCTAAGGTTGTATCCTGTGTTACCTGAGAACCGAGTATAGTTAGCAGGGGTATATACTATTTGGTTAAGAAGCTTATAGAAGAGTAACAGATTTAGTCGCAGTCGCCTTAACCATAATGTTTCTAGTCCCAGGATTTCACATCTGGTAGAGTAGTTTGTGCCGTTATCGGTTCCGAGTACTTTTCGCGTGAAGTACCTCTGTACTCCTTCTACTTTCAGTTTGTCTTCTATGCGTGTACTGCTGAATATGAATGAGCAGTAATCTAGGAGTGGGCGCACACATACCTTGTACAGTAGTTGTCAATCATGTCTCATAAACCGTTGATGCCCAGCTCTTGCTACGCTCGGGCCCACGCTGTTCCTTGAAGTTTTCAGAAACGCTTAGTTATAACGGACGAAAAAACCAAAACACTGATTGGCCGCTTGATATTTCTTTATTGTTACACCAACATATAAAAATAATAACTGAACTAAGGTCTGTGAACAAATATTACAATAATAATAATAATAGTATGTTCTCATTTTGTACATGAGAGACGCCAGTTTACAGGCATCATCAATATGATAAATTACATATACGATTAGCAATCATAATTAATAATAATGTTTTAATAAAATACACATTTTTTCCTACTTGTGTAGGACACACCAAATATACAGGCATGGATAAGCATTATATAAATTTCATAAATTTGGTTTATGGTTAAGTTACATGGTTGCTGGCGTTTTTGTCTTAGGTCTGTGGGAACAATATGATAACCAGTCATTCAATGGAGCACGTCATGAAATATAGGAATATTAACTTCGCATTAACAAAAAAACCCAAGTAAGTTTTGGATGGATTAAAAATACTTGGGAAAAAATAAAGCTTGAAGTAATTCCTCAATATAACTTGGGTGTGTACAAATCCGAATCTTATTTTTGATTTGATTTATATCCAAATTGGGTAATAAGGAAGCTATTTTTACAGATACGATCAGTTATGTTATAAGCTACAATCGTGACGTTGTATTACAAATAGATACTTTTCCATTGGTATAAGAGTATATTCCACAAATGTAATCCAGGTTGCGTCGTGGAGAAAGTTAATTCGTTATTAACCAGGCAACTGAAAGATACGGGACCAATAATGTTTGCAGATCATTTGTCATTGTAAATGGTCAAATATCCACATTATTCATTCTCATTCAAAAAGTCAAATGGAAGCTGAAATGGTGAGAGAAAAAAGAAGACAAACAACAGCAACGCAAAAGAAAGCAACGGGAGTCCTTAAGGAGTGATTAATAAATATATACATATATATTCTGTTTAGTAACTGTGGTTATTTTGGTACACAAACTAACTAGTCCCGTTATGCTAACTTTTATATTATGTGTAAACTAATATTATTACTGTCCTGTGTAGAAATGTTAATCATCTAGTTCCAATAATATTAAAATTTATAATTGTAGTTTGTTGTAACTACACGTTTAAAGAACTTAAAATATCTATGTAGGGTGAAAAAGAAGGTGTAAGAGTCAGGCGCAAAAGTGCATTGTCATCTTTGAGTAGTCTGGTGACTGAGGAGATGAACACTGGAAGTGTGTTTGCATCGCGCACATTAGCTGGTAGTCTATTCCAAATGACTGAAAACTTATTTAAGAAGAAGTTGTACCGCACGTAAGTCTGACAGTGCTCCATAGCAGCTAGGTTGTGATGATTTCTAAGATTGTAACTGATGACAGCGGTAGGTTTAGTTATTGGCTCGGAGGAATGCAAGAGAAGATTAGTTAGCTTATAGTAAAAGATAAGGTTTAGCTTAAGGCGTCTTTTCCAGAGGGGTTCTAATCTTAGTCTTACGCATCGCTCATGGTATTCCAGACCACTTTCTAAACCAAGAGTTCTTGAGGTAAACTGCCGTTGCACTCCCTCTAATTTAAGCTTGTCATTTTGTCTTAGTCCGCTAAGAATAAACGGGCAGTATTCTAAGATAGGTCGGACACATACTTTGTATAATAAAACCCTAGTTTCACAACAAAAGAAATTGCGTGTTATGCATCCTATCAGCCTTCGCGTTTTACGTCTGGCATAATCAGTCTGTTCAGCGAACGTTAGGTTACTAGAGTATCTAATACCGAGATCTACGACTGAGTTGAGCTTAGCTAGTTTTCGCCCATTTATTTCAAGAGTTAGATCAAGGTTACTGTTGCCAATACAAATCCAGCCGCATTTGTCAATGTTAAAATTTAGACAGGATTCAGCACACCATGATGCGAGACTACTTAGTTCAAGATGTATTTTAGTAACCATATCGCTTAATTCATGAGTGTAGCAGGAGTAGACGACTTTGAGGTCGTCAGCATATAGGAATGGTTTGCCTAAGGTGAAGCACTTGCAAATGCTGTTAATGTAGATTGTGAATAAAAGTGGACCTAGGACACTACCTTGCACGACCCCACTTGAGATCTGCCTAGGATGAGACAATACAGATCCAACTTTGGTTATTTGTACCCTGTTGCTTAGAAATGATTTTAACCAGTTCAGTAATGGGTTGCGAATTCCACAAGAGTACAGCTTCTCAAAGAGAATACTGTGAGATACCATGTCAAATGCCCTAGATATATCGAAGTAGAGAACAACGACTAGCTTACGTGCTTCGCGACTACTAGTGATGCAGTTGAAAAAGTCGAAGTGGCAAGTAACGCAGGATCTATTTTTGAGAAATCCGTGTTGAGACCTTGTAACAAGATCTTCCCTAATTAGGTAGTCTGACAATTGATCTTTTACAACTTTCTCCATGATTCGTGAGATAACTGGGGTTATATTTATGGGTCTGTAATTGCGGACGTTTGCCCTATCACCAGATTTGTAATGTGGAATTATGAAGCTAGTTTTCCACTCACTAGGGTAAGTGCCAGTGTCCATAGATATTGAGAAGAATTTAAGAAGTAACAAGGGTATATCACACCCACTGTTTTTGAAAATTATCGAAGCGAGGCCATCCGGTCCCGTACTAGTGGAAGGTTTAAGGCTTTTAATTGCTTGTACTATTAACTGATTAGTGAACACAATGCTTTCAAGGGAAGAGATAGTAAGGGGAGCGGTTTCACCAGGCATATGTGTTTCTAAACTAAAGTTTGCAAACCAATCACTGAAGAGTTCACAGATAGTGGCAGGTTCATTGTAGATTACTTTGTCGTGAAGTAAGTATGGGATTTCCCTCGCCGACTGCATTCGTTTTTTAAGAAGTGCCGTTAAGTTATAAACTTTGGAGGTACTTTCAAGTGCCGTTAACTCTTCGTCGAGGTCCTTTTGAGAGCGTAGGCGCTTGAGAGATTCAAGAGACTCGTGGATTGAGAGCAATAGTGATATGTCCTTAGTGGAATAGTACTGTTTCTTCAGTTTCCTTAACTTATTACGGTGTGCCCTTGGAATATATTCAGTTCGGTGTCTACTTAATTTCACTATTTTCTTTGGAGCAACTGTATCTAGACAAAGGGTAACATTCCTGTAAAACAGGGTTACTAAGGCCTCCAGGGAGTCAGTGGTAAAATAGTCATCCCATTGACAGAGTCGAATAAGTTCTTGGACTAATCCCCAGTCTGTATATTTGTAACTACGACATATTGTGCTTCCTGAGTCTTGTTTGTTTCCTGTATTTAGTGGTGAGAAAGGCAGAGAGCAGAGTACCATTCTATGGTCACTACTGGAAAATCGATTACCAACATAGGTGGATACTGGGATTGTGTCATGACAAAAAACAAGGTCCAACATGTTGTCACCACGAGTAGGTGTCTGGACGTGTTGTTGCCATCCATAACAGTCTATAGTGGCAAGTAATTCGTCGAAGCGTTGGGGGCCGGAACTAGTTAGCCAATTGACTTCTGGAAGATTGAAGTCCCCTGCAATTATTTTGTAATTAGCACTAAACGAGGATGCGTGTGCAAACGATTTAGCTAATAACGCATCAGTTTCTTTTGTTGAGCTTGGTGCTCGATAAACACAGCCTATGAGAAGTTTGTACTTATCTCCATGTAAGACAACCCAGAGTGAGTCAGGTACATTATTCACAGCATTTCTCTCCTCATAGACAAAGGTAGGCTATGCACTAACTCTACAGACATATGTGAACTATTCAACAAAACTTTTGCAGGTAACTACATTAAGCCCTCAGTCCAGCTACTCGATATACACCCTATTACTAAAATGGCACAAACTCCAACTCCACTCACACCAAACCAAATTAGCACTGTTCAATTCACTTACGCTGATATTAACCAAACTATAAGAACCCTCAAAAGTTCAAAAGGTTTCGGTACCGACGGTATATCATCTTACTTCTATAAATATGGTGGCCCCGATATCCCTCTACTGCTGCTTAAAATATTCACAATGTCCCTAGAAACTCAAACTTACCCTGGCATATGGAAGACAACATTCATTATGCCTAAACACAAATCTGGCTCGAAAACTGAAGTCAGTAACTACCGGCCGATCAATATCACACCTATAGCATCTAGAATCATGGAGAGACTGGTCAAAGATAACCTAATCAAACATATGCTTAACTGGAATATTATAAGGCCGAACCAACATGGATTCCTGAAATCCAGATCATGCTTAACATGTCACCTAGACTTCTTCAATTTTGTAACCAGCAGTCGTGACAGACGGCAACTAGTACTCGTCATCTACTTTGACATTTCTAAGGCATTTGACCGTGTTGACCATATACTGCTAACAAATAAGCTGAGCTCCTTAGGAATACGTGACCCATTATTAGGATGGCTTAAATCATTCCTTAACAACAGGTCCCAAATAGTTAAACTCGGGTCTGCAACCTCCAAACCTAGCCCTATCACTTCTGGTGTAGTACAAGGTAGTGTCATTGGACCCCTCCTATTTAAACTATACATCAATGACATATGCGCTTGCTTCACGCATGGGAAGCCATTCATCTTTGCAGATGACCTGAAAGTAGCCTATACATTCCAAAGTGATGACTTAGGGAACTTCGAGAATGTAGTGCAGAAGGAATTAGATAAAATGACTGCTTGGTCGTCCCTATGGAACTTCCAATTCAATCTGAAAAAATGTGGCTGGATCTGCTTCGGTGCACCCTCAATTGACCTGAAATTAACGCTTCAAACCGCTAACCTAACCAGACTCCGAAGTGTCGTTGACCTAGGCCTGAGGTACTCTAGTGACTTGACATTCTCTGAGCAAGTAGCATCACAGACTAGAAAATCGAGGATGCTCTTAGGATGCATACTCAGGAACTTCCACGACAATGAAGCCAAGCTAATTCTGTACAAAACATGTGTCAGACCACTACTAGAAAACTGTCCATTTATTATAAGCAGCACTCGCACACGTGATAAGCTAAGGATGGAAAGTATCCAACGATATTTTACCTCAAAACTACTTGGCTATGATTGTAAGAAAGACTACACCTCACGGTGCATGATCCTAAAACTTGACCCACTTTGGACAAGGCGACTTATTATAAACCTAATATTCTTCTTTAAGGTCCTTCACAAAATATCTTTCTCAGGTAACAAGGACATACAATTCGCACAGGAAGGTTCTTACGATCTGCGTAACCAAACTTCCACAGTGACAACTCATTCTTTTAGGTCAACACTCAGTGAAAACTTCTTCACAGTCATGTATTCTAAAATATGGAATAGCCTACCCCTAGATGTCAGATCTTGCTCTTCGGTTACAAGTTTCAAACGCTCTCTGCATAGACTGTTTCGCTCTACTGACTATATCAATAAACTATTTACTCCTAAAACGAACCAACTACTAATCTACTACAGCACCTAAAAAACGCACTTCAACACCCTTAACAATCTAAAAACCATAAATAAACTAGCAGCATGGATGCATAAAGACTTAGTACGGAACATACAGGATTAGTTTACCCCTAGAAATAGGACGTGTCACTTTATTGTAACCTTCAAACGCTTGCTATATAAACTGTTTTATCCCAAAGTCTATCCCTACCAGAACTCATTACTTACTTCTAAAACGCATCAGTCATTAGAACACTAAAACGCTCAGACTCATTAATACACATCATGACACTAAATAGACTCTAAGACTTCGCATAAATTCGTAAAAAAAACTAGAAAAATAATTTCTCAATAATTTATTATACAGTTGACATAAACAATTATATATATACATTAATGTCCTTTTAATGTTCACATACTTTCTCTTTTTGGTACTATGATACTCCTATTCATCTTCTGGTCGAGGTCGAACAACCCTGCATCTAAACTGAAATGAGGATTAATTCCAAACCATCTACCTCGTAACCACCCAAATTCCATGAACGATCCAATTCTACCATTTGAAGACGCTGGCGAACATGCTGTAAATGAGTATTCATGATCTGAAATGAAGAAGCAACTGGTTTTCAAACAGTTTTCAACATTTTTCTGAACTTACGAATGCAGTCCGCCATGCAGACACAAATGGAGCAAATGGAGAATTCTGGAACCGACCTCAGCACCATTTGATGCAGTAAAACAACTTCACATGACCTCATCTAGTTTTCGTATCCACGATCAAATTTCTTTCCTGTTATAAAACTACGATAAGACTACTGAAAAAATAGAATAAATATATCACTGATCTCAACATAATACATCAATAAACTTTGATCCGAGGGTGCTGTTCACAACAAAGTTATGTAAGAGGATTGACTTCAAGCTTTTTTTCCCAGATATTTGTATTACATTCATCTGATGTCTGGGTTTTTTTTAATGCGAAGACAATATCTCTATATCTCTTTATGTGCTACACAAACAGACTTTATAGCAGACTGTTCCGTCTGACTCTAATGTCAGAAAGAACAACCAAACTGTAAATTCATCATACATCAATTTGTGTAATTTATATAATAACTTATCCATGCCTGTACAATTGGTATGTTCCTGCATAAACAGGAAGAAATATATTCTATTCATTGTTTCATCTTCCACCTTACTGACTACAAATGAGCTATGTATATATATGAGACATCCTCCACCACGCTTGCAATCTCTGTTTGCACGGTGTACAGTGTAATCATCGATACCTATATGCACATCAAGTACAGAGGATGAGCACCATGATTCAGTAATCAGAGCTACAGTAGGCTTGGCGACTAATAATAATGTCCTAAGTTCAGATATCTTATTGACTAAGGAACGTGCATTAATTAGCGATATCGTGAATAAGTCACGGGATACTACAAACTGGCTTAAAATGTCACCATAACCTAAATCTATTTGTGCGTCAGCACCGCAAGAATTTATGAATGAAAAGGAGGTCGGACTGGGTGTCTGTACATCGGGGTTGGAGTGCAATGAGGTGGTCCTAGGTGCCATGGGTCGTACCAGTGATTTGGGACACCTGGAAAATTTACCATGTGTTCCTGGATATAAGGGTAGTACAGGTTGGGCCTAGGTTGACGGTTAAAAGGCATAGCATCAGAAGGTCTACCCATCCAACTGCTATTCGTCATACCGGTATACACCTTCGGGTTGTTTTTATGACTTAAAGGGAATTGTGAAGGAAGGTGCTTTGGCTGCAAGACTTTAGGAGTCTTGGAGCCTAACTTTCTATAAGGTGGAGCATGCGGAACACCTCCAGATGTACTTATGTTTCGAGAGGAGTTTTTCGTAACAAGTGATGGTTTGTTGGCATTCTTACTCTCAGCAGGCTTATTGAATACAAAGTATTCTTCCCCATCATTAGTCTCAACCCTGCGAAATTTGTTCATCGTGGTGAGGTTACTACGTTTGGGGGGAAATTTCTTAGAACAACTTGCAGAAGTTCTAGTCATTTTAACATCTTTCGATGAGGCTTTTTTTACAGGGGTACTGGTATCTAAATCAGTTCCTAGTTCCATTGGCAGGTGTGGTTGTTGTGTAGTTTGCTGAATGCTAGTTTCACCACTAGGTGTCTGTTGCTGTGCACGATCCTTATTTGGTAAATCAAAGCTAGAGGAGGTGACCAGGTTATTACTACGCATTATTCTGCGCTGACACGGTGTTTTATCCTGAGCTACGGTTATAGACTTATAACTGCTATTCAGTCTTAAGTGATCCTGACATTTAGTAAACTTACTAGCATCAAGGGAATTACTGAATTT